ACGGAGCCCCGGCTCGCCGGTGTGCAGAGGTAGCGAGCCCAACCCTCCCGTCCTCCCGGGCTGCGTCTCCCCGACGGTGCCCTCCGTGGAAACTTCAGCCTCTCCGGGCTTCTTTTTGCTAGTGCATTACCGAAGGTGTGAAAGTGGCTTGGGAATCTCACCCCTCTGCGGTCGCTGCGGGGCTTGGAGGAGCGAACTGAAAAGGAACTTTTTTTGACCCTCATGCTGCCCCTCTGATTTTATCTTCTGTCACTCGCCACCATCGAAATTTTTTTTTTTTTTTTTTTTTTTTTCGGTTTAAGAGTTGATTAGCTCATTCCTGTGTGTGTTTGTAGCCTGGGAAGGAGGAGCTGGGCAAAACACTTAAGTACGCACACGAACTCTCCAGCAGCGGATAAGGTTGTGGTTGTAATCTCTGCAGCCTCTTTGTGCTTTCCTTCAAAGTTCCTAACCGTGCCTGCAATCTGGGATTCTTTCTTTTCTTTTCTTTGGAGGTCTGCTACATTAGTTATGTCAGGATGTCTGCCTGATGTGTAGGGGACACTTGTGAATGTGCAATTGAAGTGTAGAGTTGATTAGCTCATTCCTGTGTGTGTTTGTAGCCTGGGAAGGAGGAGCTGGGCAAAACACTTAAGTACGCACACGAACTCTCCAGCAGCGGATAAGGTTGTGGTTGTAATCTCTGCAGCCTCTTTGTGCTTTCCTTCAAAGTTCCTAACCGTGCCTGCAATCTGGGATTCTTTCTTTTCTTTTCTTTGGAGGTCTGCTACATTAGTTATGTCAGGATGTCTGCCTGATGTGTAGGGGGCACTTGTGAATGTGCAATTGAAGTGTATACAAGCCCCCCCCCTCCGCCCCCAGTCTCCCTATCTGTTCTACTTTATATAGTCATGCATCAGAGCTGTACTGCACTACAGTTTATGCCCAATTCAAGATTTTCATGGTAAATTTCCAAAAGCCAATTTGAAAAGAGCGAACACACTCTTTATTTCTAAGTGCACTTAACTGTTTAGTAGAACCGTTCAAGGATCTCAAGTTTCTTTTTTGTTAGGTGTCAAAGGTAATGGTGAGCTGTTAGATGTTGTGGGCTCTCCTCAATGTTTTCTGTTTTGATTTTGTTTTGTTTATGTCTAGAGACGCAGTACAGGATTTAGTTGAGTCCTGGGGGAGAAAAGGGAGCTTAGCCAAAACAGGGACTTAAAGCTCATAAGGGACGGTGGAGTAGCTAATATTAGTAGATACCAGCCTAGAGCTACAGATGCTGCTGCTGCCGCTCTGCATGGTGGAGGGAACGGGTCATACTGAGTGGAAAAATAGAAATCTCTGCTTGGAAGGGAAACACTGTCAAGCTTTGTACAATGTATGTGGTACGTGGAATTTTTTTAATGGTGTTTTCTTGATGAAGGTATTAGAATTTGAGAAAGTGATTGCCTGCCTTATGGTACATTGCAGTTTTGGTGTTTTTGTTTTAATATTTCAGACCTTTAATTAGCATGTTGGCCAATTTAATTACCATGTTGGTTATTTTCGGACCACTTGATGGTGAACCAGTTAGGATATAGTGCAGTGGGTGAGTACGTGAGCACCAAGAAATACATCCTGTAATCTGTATGCACCAGGAGGAATTTGCCCCCCCCCCACTCCTCCCCCAGGTCAAGCCAGCTGCTGCAGAAACTGACATCTTCTAGCAAATCCTGAATGAATGAATGAAAACAACGTGATCGCCCTAATAATGACCACAACTGAACACACATCTTTGGCTGTATTTTATAGAAAAGGCCACCATTTTCTAACAGATTAATGCCATATGCAAGCCCCTTGCACATTTTGTAGAGCTATATGAAATGAGAGGGTAACAGAATGAAAAGGCATCAGTTACATAAATGTTAGAGTGATTTAGCTTCAGCAGTGCGTAAGTTGAGTTTTGGGATTTTTTTTTAGGGACTAATGTAAGAGGCATTAAAAAAACATTACAGATTGTGTACAGAGGTTTTTGTGGGCAGAGTAAGAAGTTTTGACAATTGCTCCAACAATATAATGGCCATCTAGTTACCTCCTCCCCTTTTGTTGATAAACACTAAAATAACAGATAATAGTACAACTTGCTTTTCTGTATCCTTCAAAAGCCTTATTTATTTAGGAATTACATGCTCCATCATCGCGTAGTTTTAATGAAATTTGTGATCAGGCTTAAACTATCCTCTTTGTTGTAGTATGGCACATCCGAGTTTAATGCAATTTTAATGCAATCATGATGAAAACACTTTTCTGAGTCTGGTGCAGCAGACAGGCTTGCAGTGTCAGAGAGCTTATGTTGGGAATCAAAGGATTTTTTCCTGCTAGAGATGTTTTTCTACTGTTTTTAACACCATGTAGTTTTGTCCGTTTCTTACACTGTAGTGATTTTGAATACACAGACTCTTCTGCCCCCAGTTCCCTGGTTATATTACCCCTATGTTACTTCTCCACATCCTGCCTTGTTCCTCCCTATCCTGATTAAAAGTATAGTTAATCTGTTCTGTCTACTTGCCCATTTAAAATCCATACTATGAACATGCTGTTAAATAGTTGGTGGAATTTTTCAAATGATTACGTACTCAGTTTCTTTTGAATTCTGCAAGATTCTGACTTTGGATTTTAGCCTCCACTGGTCAAGGCTCCTGCCGCTGCCACTGCTGCTGCAGACACTGACATCACTATACTGCATGAATGAAAAACAACAACGTGCTCCATTCCTACCTCCGCTCTACACCTCCTTCCTTTTCTACACACATTGTGTGTGTGTGTATCTGTAAAATGGTGGTGTTACACTGCATTTGAAACTACATTTAAAATGTTAAATTAAGTAGATAGTGGCTCAAGGGGTATGTATTCAGTAGAGGCATATTGTTTACCAAAAGCTTTAAGTGCCATGACTACTTGGACTAGAGGTGACATAACTGAGCATTCATAATTTTATGTTTTTTATCTGACATGATGGTTATAGAAAAAATATAGAAGCTTTAAAATTTTTCCTTTCTAGTTCTCTTAGCAGAATGAAATTAAGAAACAATGTAATTTCTAAACACATTATATCATTTCCTTCTTAAACATTCTCAGTGTACATATTTATTCATAGGGTTAAGAGTAGAGTAATAAAGTCTTGATATTTTGATTATTTCACTCGAGAGAAAGCTGAATTCTGTAAATCAAAACAGTTTTAATAGTATGGTATTAATTTGTAAAACTCAATCAAGGATGGTAATTTCCTTTATTTTGGTAGCATAGTTTTAGGTAATTTAAATGGTTACCATAACAGAACATGGTACATCTCCAAACACCTTGCTCTGTATAGAGGACATGAAGCTTTACAAATTGAAACTGTTTTGTTTATGCTCATGGATCATACTCTTTTTGTTTGTATTTTTTCTTTCTTTTGTATTTTCGAAACTTCAAGGTTTGTTATTTATATTCACTTCATTACTTCTGCTATTAGCAAAATGTCACCCTCCCCTTGTTTGGTTTTGAAGGGTCTTGCAATGGTGAATGACAAGCTGCTGAATGCATCCTCAGGCTCCCTGTGATGTGTTTGTAATAGATGTTAAATCATAAAGTATTATGCAAATAGTTATTTTTTTGTGATGGTAATACATAGTCTACCTTTGAGATAAATAGAACAACTCAAATGACTTTATAGCAGGTTGTTAGTGTTAAAATTAAGAATCTTTAAAATCATTAGTAACAACTAAAAATAAGTATATAATAAAGTTGCTTCTTTCTGAAATCTTACAGAGCAAAACCCATAGATTTAAACACAGACCAAATACAATTTTACTGGGCAAGATAGTAAGTAGCACATGTAAATCCCTGTTTGTGTTGTGTGTGTGTGTGTGTTTTGTAGATATTGAGCATTAGGATAAGTTATAAATTTTAAAAGATGTACAATCAGTTGCATTAGAGTACTCCTGATAGAGGATACTGCTTATATTTAAGAATACCAAATCTAGTAAGCAAGACATGGAAGAGCTTGCTATATATATAGCCCATGCTATGAAAAATAGCATGTGTTAGTTCTTGATTTAACATATCAGATTTTTTTAGGCCTAATACTCTAACAGATTGCTAACTCTGGAGTGAGATTTGATTAGAATTTTTCATGAGTATCTTGAGAGCCTCATTGTTTTATACATAAAGTAGTTATGATTCTATTTTAAAGAATAATTCAAAGGCAGCTAGTATATAATGGAGAATGTCTACATTCAGTATATGTAGTCTGTGTTTTTAATCAGTTCATCAATTTATTTGCTTTCAATTTTCATTCAGTTTTTTTTGAGTCATTTTTTATGCTGTACATTAGAGCACTTCTATAAAGAATATTGCTTATTTTTAAGTGTACCAGGTCTAGTAAAAAAAAAAAAATGTGGAGGGACCAGCAGTTGGCGTATGTTGCTGGACTCCCATGTGGTTGACCGCAGTTCGAGTCCCAGACCTGGCGGCTTAAACCCACACTGGGTGCATGTGCATCCGTGCTGAAGATCCCAAGAGGAGAATGGAAGAGAAGGGATTGCAGCATGGCCATCCCCCCTGGGGGATGATCTCTCGCTTTCTGTCTCTTTGTCTGTCTCTATCTTTCTGATGAGTACACACACCCTATAGCAAAAAAAAAACTTCTCAAGGAAAAAAAAAGTGGGAGACCAGCAGTTAGCGTAATGGCTATGTCACTGGACTCCCATGTAGTCAACTGCGGTTCGAGTCCTGGATCCAGTGGCTTAAACTCACTCTGGGCACATGTGCATGCATGCCCAAGATCCCGAGAGGAGAATGGAGAAGGGATTGCGGCGTGGCCATCCCCCATGGGGAGTGATTTCTTGCTTTCTGTCTCTCTCTGTCTTTCTGGCAAGCGCACGTACCCTATAGCAAAAACCTCTCACAAAAAAAAATAAATAGTGGAAGAGTTTGTAATGTGTACAGGTCCTGCTTTGAAAATATCATGTGTTGGTTCCTGACTTTAGATATCACATTTATTTTGGCATAATACTCTGACTGACTGCTTACTCTTGAGTAAAATTTGATTAGAATTTATGGAATGCAAAAATTTTTAATAATTTTTTAAGAGATACTCAGACTTCAGTTTTAGTATGAATTTTTTGGAAATTAAGGCCCTCTCTCCCCCTTTCAAAATTAATTTTCTAAAAGTGCTGATAAGAACTTGTTTCAAAGCTTTCAATATTAGAGTGAAAACAATGTTAATGTTTTAGCTTTTTCTAAAGTGACAGGTTTCTAATTCTGAATTTGGAGAAGGGTTTTATCCCCTGAGAGTTGTACAAAACAGTAACAGCATTCAGTATTTATGGACCTGATTTTTCCCATCAGTTATCTGATGGTGCATAAAATTTCTAGATCAATGAGTGAATACAAAATAGAGGAGCAAACTTATAAAATTAATCAACTGTCTTATGTTCAAAGATTAAATTTCTCTGTAGTGACTAATTCTCTAAACATATTGAATAGTGAATACCTAAGATGTCTAAAAGCACCTTCCCTGTTTTTAACTAAAGTTTTGTGTGTATATGTTGAACTAAAAATCATTTATTACTGTGCTTTTTATAGAAGAACAGATCACTTGTTGCAGTGTACATCTCTGCCAAGACTTATTGCAGGTTAGGATTTGTTCATTGAGGAAATGTTGAAGGATAATGGCATCCTTTGTTGTTTTATTTTATTTGTGATAATGTGAACTACATGTGAATAAGAAAACAGGAGTAACTGGGTTCCATGGCAGTGTTTAAAATGGAAATAAATGACAGTGTTCAACAAATGTCTAAATGAAGAGAAGGTTTTTCTTAAGTTTGGAATTATTAAAACTTTCACATGTAGCTAGTCATCTGCCAAAGAGTAAATATTAATGACATTGCTCTTAATTTTAGTTTGGTCTTTTCTCCAGATCATAGTTTTAGTTTGACCTTTTCTCAGACACCACCAAGATAACTTTTCTTTTTAAATTCTTGCCACAGGTACTCACAAGAGAAAGAGAGAGATACACACAGACAGAGAGAGACAGATAGAAAAAGTACGCTCCCTCCCCCCTATAGAGTAGGGTTACACCACAATTCCTTCCCCTTCATCTCCCTCCTTTCAGGATTTTGGACACACATGCCTGGAATGTTTCTCAGGCTGCTGGCTTCAGGACTTGAACTCATGCAGTGAGCCATGTGGGATCCAGCTGCCATAACCACCATGCCACAGGCTGGCCCACCAAGGTAGCTTTTCTGTAGTACCTGTCCTGGGCCTCTGTCTTGTAGTATTATCTTTTGTCTTCATTATTATTACTAATGTTTAAGAAACCAAAACAAACCAAAACACTAATGCTCTTTTGGTGCCATGTACT